AAAATTCTAAACTAAACTAAAAGTTGTTTGCGATATCGATCTCTATAATTTTTGTTTATACATGATTTTTCTAAAATGGACCGTAATGGAAAAATTGTAGGAAAATTGCTAAATTTAAATTTTTCAGTATTTTCGTTTTCAATGAATAACTATAGAAATATTTCTAGGTAGATAGATGTATGTGGAAAATGTATATATTTTTTTATATTTATAGAGGTACAGCAATAAGTTGTACAAAATAACCAGAAAAAAGCCTATAATAACTAGATAGGAAAGTCATGTATTGGACACATCAGATTTTTTGACTATAAAATTTGGAAAACCAATATTTTCTGTATAATAAAGCTACATTTGTTGCATCTCGCTAGGACGCGCCATTTTCGAGAGAAAAGCATGTTACCTTATTCGAAAGTGTAAACAATAATTAGTAGGTCTGTAGAATTAGAAATTTTATTTTTTTTTTTTTAACTTTGAAAAACCGGTAACTAAAGAAATTTTAGAAAATATTTCATCTGAACTTCACTTGTAACACCCTGTATCTCGAAAACGAAACGTTTTCGGACCTATGTTTATATAAACTTTTACTCCTATTTTTAACCGACTTCATAAAAGGAGGAGGGAGGTTCTCAATTCGTCGCAATATTTTTTTTATTTTTTTTATTTTTTTTATGTATGTTCAGCGATAATTCTTTAACACGGTGTCCGATTCCAATGATTCTTTTTTTGTTAGAAAGGGGGTACTTCAGGGGTGGTTCCATATAAATTTGGTCAAAATCTAATAATTGGGCTCATGAGAAAATTCTCAAACTCTTAATTTTTTATGCATGTTTAGCGATAATGCTTTACCACCTTGTCCGATTTATATGATTCTTTTTTTGGTAGTAAGGGGGTACCTCAGGGGTGATCCTATATAAATTTGGTTAAGATGTGGTGACGGCATCTGCACGTTTTTGAATTCGGTTTTTTTTAATTTTTAATTTCTTGTAGGATGTAGATTACGCTGTTAAAATGTGACCGTCTAATTTCGGGACACCCTGTATATTGGAAATTCGAAATAATAGTTATGACGTAGCGGTGTTTTTCTAATTGTAATCGGACTCTAGGTATATGGATACGGAAAGTGATGAATTGGAGATAGGTAAATTGTATTTATTGTATTAAAGGAACAACAAATATAAGTACAATTAAATATTAATATAACAATTTTTTAAAGTCTGTAATAAAAAAATTTTTTTTCACATAGATTATTAAATTAAAAAAATAACTATTAAAACACGAAATGTTAATTTTTTATCTTTTACAACACAAAATATATAATACTGTTGAATCAAAATTTTCTCTTGGCAGCAGGTGGTTTTTGTGACGCGACAATTATGATGCTTTGCATCTCATGAATTAAAGTTAATTCTTTTTCAATCTTAAGGTGTTCATACCCCTTATAATTTTCGGACAAGAATATCTCAAAATATTTAAATTTTGGCAAAATAAATTAGGCAATAATATCTATAATATGCATATATTTTAATGTTTTAATTCCTTCCAGTTTCCCAAAAAAACTAAAAGGGCTTTAATTTTTAAATATCATAATGAAAATAAATGCATTCCTCGACAGCACTATTCTTAATATAATCCCCAAATTTAAGCTCCTAATGTCTTGTTAATGATTTCTTAAAATTCGCCAAAATTAGTGGCTAAAACGCTTCGTTAAGTGCTATCTTCTGGTGTAAACTGGTGTAAATTATTGCAAGAAACGAATAATGACAGAGTGTACGATACGATAGTTACAAGCCCGTTACACTGTTTTCCACTCAATTTATTAAAAAAAAAAAATAATAAATTAGGGTGTTAATTTTTTTTCTCTGAAGCTATTGGTTTTGGGATAAAAATTCAAGAATAAAAAAAATTAAATAAATCAAGGATTTCATAAAAGTTAATCTCGAAAAAAAGGTTTGATATGAAATAAAGTAAGTGTTGCTAATTTCACCCCCCTATAATGTAATAGAAATATTGAACAAATACCCGTGGTTAGTCCTTTGCGATTACAGAATTTCAAGTTTCTAGCTTTACTGAAATTTTAGAAAAAAAATAAAAACTTAATTTTAGTCACCACTTTTTAAGGGTGATATCTCGAAAAGGGGTGGGCTACGGAAATTTTGTTATAGGAAAGACCCATCTTAATTTCATACGAGCAATCAGTTCCTGAATTTTGTCGCATATATTTAGAAACACCCTGTATATTACACATTTTTTTAAGCGTGCAAAATTCTTGACAATCTCTTTTCCCTAATTGGCACATGTCGTATTTTTCTAGGATTTACTTACTCTGGCATGCAAACAAATAAAATAGCAATTTGTCAGCTGTGCATTTTTGCCTTCCAGAATTTTTCATTTCATAAATTAACTAAAAACTAAATTAAACAAAAACCTAACAACGCCTCAACAACAAACTAAGACGATCACAATAATTTCGCACCTCTTCAACTAAACAGCAGCTACCCTGTTAACCACGGGCTTCATAGACTAGCAGCGTTGCCATATTCACTGGTATCATTGTTTTAATAGAATTAGTATCGGAATGAAAACTATGTTAATATTGGGTCCTGTTTAAAATTGGTAATATTTTTGAAAAAAAGTTATTTAGAAAATAGTTAAGATATTTGTTATAGAATGCCGGTAAAGAGCCAAAAAATTAAATTTGTTAAAAAGTTGAAATTTTTGTTGTGTTTCTTTAAAAATATAAGTTTTTCGCGGTTTAGCGAAATTCTTAGTTCATTTTTACAAGGATTGGCCTGAACCATTTTTTTTTACAATTTTTTTTAACTGCCTCAAATGTAAAATTGATTTTTGGTGGAGGAGCGCCCGTCATGTTTGCTCTTAATTTATCAAATTTTGAACAATTTTTTGTCTTTTAAAGAGAGTTAAAGATTGAAGTTCCCTGTCTTGCATATTTTTATTCCTACAAATAAAATGTACATAAAATTTATTATGCTCATTTATTCATGATACACATTTTATTAAATTTTAAAAGTTCCAAAGGCTACTACCAGCATATGTTTGATTTTTAAAAATGTAAGAGCTAATCATACCTTTTCGTTAGCCTTCTATCTTTCTTTTCCAACTTTAAAATTCTCAATGTTGGAAATTGAGATGAGGGCATATTTTCTTTACTGTCATTATTTTCAAGCCTGTAATCAATAATGTAATAATAATACTTACATATTTAGTATTTAACAAAACAAGGAAATAAGTGTGTTTCGAAAGTCACATATATATGAATATCTAATTACATTACTTCTAGTGTTTATATGGAAAAAATTTACACATTTCGAAAGCATAATACAGGTATAGCTTCTGGTATAGCTTCTTTTATTAATCTATTGCTACCTTTATAATAATTTTCAGTTAAAAAATGGTCGAACGTTGACATGTGTTGTCAAACTGAGCACTTGACACTAAGCCAGTTTGAAAATCTGAAATAAATAATAAAAAAAAAAGATTTAAAAAATTAATATATGTACAGAACAAAAAGATATCTAATCAATCCATTTTACAATACACAAAAAGACTAATAAATTAAGCATTATATTGCAAAGGAAACAATTATTGCGATGATGCTCAAATGAAGAACTTTCTACAAACATGTTTTCTTATTAATTTGTCCATTTCCTATTTTAAGTTACGTTTATGGAATATAGAATACTTACTTGAGAAACGTCAACCGGTATCCTTTTAAGAAGTTTTTATTGCAAACACTTTAAAAGTTTATAAAAGAGGCACTTCGTCCAAATTGTCTTCGGTAGCCACAAAAACCGATCTTTTTAAAAACGAAAACAAGACGTCTAATGAAATGTCATTCATCATAAATACGCGCGACATTTAAATTCGCCAATCATAAAATGTCGTGTACCTCAGTACACAACAAACCCATTTGAGTAACACCTCTAGTCTTATATGCTCTAAGATTGAAATACATAAAAATCATACTTGATCCGGGTCCACAAAAATGTTTTCGTCGCATTGTAGTTTTTCGAAATTGTTTTCTTTTTTTTGGGTTTTTGCATTTTACTTAAATCTGGAGGCTGAACGGGCCAAACGGACCTCAAATTCGGATTCAGCGGGTCGAAATACATGTCCGTAGGTGGATCCGGTCGAATGTACAAACAATTTTTTTTTGTGTGCCGGTGTTATTAATAATTGAAGTGTCCAGGGAAAAAACATGATAAGCGCCATTTTGCTAATTTTATAGGAGATAAAAAACGGCTGGTGGTTATCAGGTTCTTTTTCTGCATGTATAACTTTATTATGCATATATCATGGGAATTAACAGCTTATTTAACTGTTTATGCATTTTGCAGGGACCAGTTAGACCTAGGTACTATAATATTGTGAAACCCTAAAAATATAAAAATGCCGCTTATCATGTTTTTCCAATGGGTTTTTCAATTGTTATTGGTATATGGGCGATTCTATTCTAACTGTTACTTTTTTGATTAAAAATTTTAAGATTTTGAAATTATACTTTTTTAATTTTTTGATGCATATTATTCATCTATTTTACTGTTAAAATAAAAGCCTGAGAGGATTTTACTACAACTTAAACTCGTCAAGAATGAGAAACAATTTTCAAATTTTCCATCCCACGGTACTGACTCATTTATCCACGGTACTGACATAAAATAAATTTGGTAGATATTCTTTAGAACAATTATTAAATTTATTAATAAGTTCTATTACAACGTTTTTAAATTCTTTTATATTGATTATTTAACACATTAATAACGAATAATAACAATTATAAAAATTTACTTTATAATTTATAGCAACTACTAATTGATAATAATCTTAACTTATTGTATTTAACTGAAAATAAATAATTTAAAATATGTAAAATTAAATTAATAAATACCAAATAAATTAATAATATTAAATAAATTAATTAATATTAAATTAATTAATGTATTGTTTTTGGTTTCCATCAGTTTCTTTTAATTCTTGTACTTCTACGCAGTGATACTGTTTAATTTTTTTTTTAAATTGTCTTTAGCAACATCTTTTTCAAGGCATTTTAAATTTTTAGTTAATTTTGGTGACGAATTTTCCGATTTTTTTGTTTTTGCTAGCAATCTGTTGTTCATTTTTCCGGCTGTATCATTCAGAGAGTATTCAATTTTTCCCATAGCAAAGTTTATACATGGACTTTTATTAGAACAATCACAACAACTTAATGAATTAAATAAAATACAATTATGTTGTAGTTTATTCCACGTATATTGATGAATTTTCATAGTGCCAATGAAAGGCTTAAAATTGCTTGGTAATATTGAATCAATGTTTGATATTTCGTCTTCTGTAACGCAATCAATGTATACAGATTTAACACGATATCGCAAAATCGTCAGCAAAGAATCAACATTTGTCACATCCAAGCCGTATTTCACTTGATCGTCTGCTAATTTCTTTATATAGCCGCCAATTCCATCAGCTGAACTTTTTACATGGCCAGCCTCACTAAAGTTATATGTAATATCCTCTAATTGAGTATAGCACTGAGGCAAGTACTGAGTTATGAGATAAAACATTTTTTTATTGCGGTACTACGTCGTTGGACCATCACTCATTATATGTAATTTATTTATCTCTGGATTTGTTGCTAGATAAATGTCAAGTATTTTTTTTTTATATGAACAATAATAGCAGAAGGATCATGTCTGAGCGATTTTGACAAAGTATCAAATCCTTGAGAAGATTTTGAAGAGTAGACCATGCCAGTATGTAAAGTACATTGTACTCTATTAGCCCCAAAGTGTACTGACTGAACTTCTGTTTCATACTTAACAAGAAATTTTGAGTTATTTTTTTCCATAAATTTTGTTGTTTGCGACAAGCTCGCTTTTCTCGTTCTGATAATTGTTGAATTGACTTAAGTTTTCCTTCTTTTTTCATTTCTTGCTCTTTCATTTCGACAGTAATTTTCGTATTTTTTCTCTCCTTAATTTTTCAGCTATACGTTTTTGTTCCAAACGATGTTGTTTTACTTCGGCACTAACGTTATTTTTATGCTTCACTTTTTTTCTTGAAAGTAATTGTTGAATTATGCCACTGCCACATCTGCATTAGAAAAAATTACAATTAATGATTAAATTAATTTTATTACTAATTTATTATATTTTGACATGGTACTAATAGACGCGGTACTGACATTTTCATTTAAAATAACAACTGTATTTGTTTGGTTAAGAATTTGTTACTTAGCAATTTAGGTTAGTATTAAGTACAAAAATGTACTATTTAGGATAGAAAAAATTAATAGTTGGTAAAGTTTATCAATACCACGGTACTGACAAGAAAATTTATGACATACCTTTTTGAAAACTAAGTTCTAAAATGACACAAACTCTTTGCTTTATGTCGTCAACTCCATATTTGTAAATATTACTCAGGTGACGTACTTTCAACATGGGTCACTAGATGGTTCATAAATGTCAAGGTATATGGCGCTCAAGTAATACAAATTCAATATCAAAAATTCATTAAATTTTAAAGACAAAAGTTACTGAACTGGAATTCAATGTTAACTTAATACATTAACCAAAAATGTGTCAGTTTCTATCAGTTTGATCATATACATTAGAATTTATGAGGTAATTAGTTTAAATTATTTATTGTGACAAAAAAAATTAACAATTTATAGGTAAATTTTAGAAATGGACTGAGACGGTACTGACATTTAGGTGGTATATTGTAAGTTTTCATTAAGTGGCAAGTTATATTAAATAAAAAATATAAAATAGGTTCATGATTATTTAATTAACACAAAAATTAATTAATAGATTATTAATTAATTTCCAGTAGGGAACAAACAATACAGGACATAAAAAATCACAGTTAGAATGGAATCACCCATATGTCATATCCTTACTAGAATGGATATAAAAATATATCCGCTCAGTAGACTGTCATCGCCTACTTATTTCTTAAATAGTTTCTGGACAAAGTGTAGAAAGTGGTTATTTTCTGGAAACGAAACTAAAAACGAAAACTTTTATCATAATCTCAATTTAATAACACTTTCCCGGTATATTTTCAATTTTTCTTTTTCAGAAAAAGCTTGTTTCCAAAAATATAAGTAGGATATTGAGAACTGAATGATTTATGTAAAGTTTTTTGTCGAGCTCCGAAATATACGCCGCAACATTGATACAAGAGTTACAACAGTATAAGAAACAGAAATATATTTTTGTAGTAATGGTAAAAATATGGTGCACGGGAAATGTGTCATGTGATGTATAAAATACTCTCCTAGAGCGTGTAGTGAATATCGATATTAAAATATATTTTATACTAGACTTTAATGCACCCGAAGCTCCGAGAACGTATATATATATATATATATATATCAATGTAATTAAATTTTCTAAAAATATTGAAATGTGACACTTTTAAAGTTTATTGATACTTATATTACTAATCTTTATTTTGGTTTAAGATTTTAAGTATTGTCTTTCAAATTTAGGTGCAACTTCGATCAATAGAATATGTTTTTGAATCAAGAGTAGGTATATTGTGACGTAACTGATTTAAACCCCGAAAAAATATAATAATAGTAATAATAATTGTCATTTATTGAACTGAAAATTCAGTCCAATAGGCTATCGACCGAAGTCCTTCTGCCTAACCGAAAAAATATCTCGATGTAATTTTTATATTTGAAATAAGCTTAAATATAAAAAAGAGCAAATTTTATCCAAAACTGAAAATTATACAGAACAGTATTATTATGTCCATTTTGGCGTGTACCTGCAATAATATGAGACATACTTTCAGAGATTCATCTTTATCATACGCATTTTACTTTGCGTGAACGTAGGTAATTGCTAGCGATTTTAGATCAATCCGATCATGCTCTTCTAGTACCTTGTTTTGTCCGATTACCACAAATAATTAATGCAATATGTCGGGCACCTGAAATCCAGCTCAACCCGGCGTTGGTACCGCCACTAAATAGCGGAGGACAATATAGCGCCGGGCGAAATAGCGTAGGACTAAATAGCGCAGAGTCAAAATAGAATTAGAAAAAACAGCGCTGGTACAGAGGAAAGCTAGCGAAGCGAGCGCGCCCGTCCGACGTTTCGAAATTCGCGCGTGCGAATTTCGAAACGTCGGCCGGGCACGCCCTTTTTCCACCTACATCGTAATATCACGCTACGCTCCTCCCACCCACCTTATATCTACTACAGAGGAAAGCGAGCGAAGCGAGCGCGCCCGGCCGACGTTTCGAAACTCGTGCGTGCGAATTTCGAAACGTCGGCCGGGCACGCTCTTTTTCCACCTACATCGTAAGATCACGCTACCCTCGTTCCACCCACCTACTAACCACTACTTGGCAATCACGCATTTCTTCACCACGAGATTTGGGTTTTTGTTTAGTCGTTAGCATAATAAGCGTTTTCATGGCAACAGTTTCTTCATAACCAAAGCGCCACGGCAAATAATAATAATAGCCGGCCCTTCCCCTACACAAGTCGTTCAGTCGACTTCAGGGGTTGAAATTCACTCGTAAGGGGGTGAATTAGGGAGAGTATTATTATTATAACTGATTTCGGCTGAACTAGTGAACATTAAATAATCTATAACTTGGCAACTACGCATTTCCCCACCACGAGATTTGGGTTTTTGTTTAGTCGGTAACATGACAAGCGCGCCCATGGCAACATTTTTTGCATAACTTATTTCAGTTAAATGAAATTAAATAAAAACCGTAATCATCTACAACTTGACAACTACGCATTTGCTCACCATAAGGTTAGGGTTTTTGTTGACTCATAGTCATCACAATTGTTATTATGACAACAGTTTTTCCATAACAGATTTCGGCTAAATAAAAGTTGAGCCACATATTTATTTCCTGGTCGCTCCTTAGCCTAATCCCACTTTTAAGTTTAGCCAGGTATATTTCCGCAGCATTTTGCTCTTTTTTAAGCTGCTCAATTAACCGATTAACAGATGGCTTGTGACAATCAATTGTCCTCTGGAAGGCTTTGTGCCATGCTTCCACTGAATTATTAATCCGGGGAAGATTTGTTTCCAGTCTGTCGAACATATTCCATATTTTGATGGGAAATCTAGCTTGAACTCCTAAAGTCCTTTTGCCTACGTAGTTATCCTCCCAATAATCAACCAGCGATTTCAAATATCTTGGAACATTTTCGCTAATTATTTCGGCAGCAAATTGTACGTCTCGCTGTGGAATGAAACTGAGGGCTATCAACATTTTGCATTTTACTCGTATATATCTACATTTTCCCCATATTTGTTGTAATGTACGAACCTATAAAATAGATATTTATATTCGTGTCGAAGAACCAAAATTATTAATTAGAAAAGATTAAGATTAACAACTTTTATTGTCACTGTGATCAATTTTTTTATTGTCATATTTTTTTTATGTACAGGGTGTAAGAACTACATATAATATAAACATTTACAAGTAAATTCAAGTAGAAGTCAATATGTAACAATATTGTTTTGTTAAGTTCATGGATTTTTCACCACAAGTATTGTGCTAGATAAAAGAAACAACCTACAATTGTGCAACCAGGAAGTACCGCCGAAGTTGAGTTAATTGTGGCCAGTTCGAAATCGACTAAAATGCTTAGAGGTTTCAGCAAGGGTTCTAATTTGCAAATATGATTCAACAACTTATAGTAAGTATCCTGCTGTTTATTTCTTAACAAAGCATATACCATTGGTACTGCTTCACCATCTATTATTGCGTGTATGGTAAATAATTGAGTAAAATGTTCTGGACATACTTTGAAAGTACCATTTATGGCCTAGTGTGGATGTTCTTGCAATACATTTAAATTGTTACGAGTACCAAATACAAACATCCTATTACTATCTTCTTGTCCAGAATCCCATAGAAGGAAGGTTTGACCTTCGTTAATTTGCTCTTTTCTTTGCTTGGCCTTAAATTGGTTGATTCTGCTATATCTTTCATATTAACCTTTGCCTTTTGAACTTCAATATTTGCAGGATCGGGAGCATGGTTATGTTCTGTAGTCGGTTTTTTGTCACAACCGACAGCAATTAATCGACCTTTACATCCACTTTTCGTACATCTCCATGTCGTCGAATAAGCATTTTCCTTGTCTCTTCGAAATCTGAATCCCTCAAAAAACAAAATTTTCCCACCTTTTTTGATTTGCTGTATTGTAAATCATCCATAACATACGCAAATATTTAAAGCGATTTATTGAAAATGTCACTTTGACAAATAAACAATATGAACAAACGGTAAATTATTTTTCGTCATACTGTACTATTATCTTACCATAATATGAGCGAAATTGATATCGAAAAGGTGCATTTAACGGCCGCGCACCACCTACAACAATCACAACAATCTAAAGTTGCCTAGCAACCACATCAGTATACTATACAAACATTGTAAGTTTGACAGTACTGTTTCTTGTTGAGTGATTATAGAGCGGAAAAGATCAAAAATG